TTGGCCTGGGCTTTGGCTATTTCTGCCTGGTGTTTGGCCTGGGCTTTGGCTATTTCTGCTTGATGAGCCGCTACTGCTGTCTTCTGCTGTGCTACCTCTTCTGTGGTGCTTATCTCTGTGTCTGCTACCGCAGCTTCTACTTCAGCTTCTGCAGCCCATTCGGCATAACTTGCTGCTTTGGAGGCCTGAGATGCTCTGCTATGATGGGAGGATGTTCTGGAAGGATGGTGGGAACCAGCAGCAGAGAATTGGTGCAAGACACGAGAACCTGCCTGGGATCTAGCCGATTTAGAATGGAGGGAAGAAGACGCATGTGATCGAGGAGCTATGTCAGATGTGGCCTGCTCCCTTGATGCTACTCCCTGCCGAAATGCATTGTGGAGCGCTGCCAGGAGGGCTGCCTTGTTTTCCTCAACATAGTCTTCGCATTCCTTGTGAAACTCCACAAAGTATTGGATGTGTGTTAGGAGTTTGGGGTCACCCAGTTTTGACTGGATGGACTTGAGGTTGTTTTCACTGCATTTCCACTGTGCAAAAAGGGCATCTAGGTCATCTAGAATGTACGGAGTTTCTTGGGGGGCAGCTTATGTATTGGGGCATCACAGATCTTCCCAAGCTTCACCCATGAGTCTGTGTAGCAACAATATTGCTGCTGCCAATCGTTCTTCAAGAGTTCTTCCATGGATTAGGGTTGCCCACTCTTGAAAAGAAAATGACTTCACTGTAAATTTCTTCTTGACCACCAGATGGAGCTGGTAGGTTATAGGTAGTCTTGGAACATTTGAATTAAATTGATTAAATGCTCACAATAATTTCAAAAGGAGTTATCAATGCAAACACGTATTGGAAACTCAGGGAGATTTTTCTCTGAGTACCAGACTCAGAAATCTTACAGAGTCCTGTTAAAATTCCTCTTTGTAATCCAGACAGATTCCTGATCATCTGTGGGTGGATAGAGAAAGAAGGGGAGGGATTCTTCCTAGCAGCCAAATGGTTTCTTTTGGAAGTTGAGCAGAGAAGAGGGGAGTGGGTTAGAAAACACTTTGTTTGTAGCATATGGGGAACTCCAACCTCTCCCACCATGCAAACAGCATGTAGAGAGTTTAGGACAAAGGGGTCTGATGAGGTATTTTAATGACTGACTTCCTGTTGAAGCTTCTGGGTGGAATCAGTCTTTGTGATTTGGGGGGAGGACGGTGCTTCCTTGCTTTGGAGATGGAGGAATGTTGATTACCTGGCTTCTGTATTGCCTCTACAAGAGAAGCCCTTCTTTTTAGCAAACAAGCAAGATTTCTGAAACTTTCTCATTGCGTTTGGAAAGGGTTTGTAATTGGATGAATACAGGGATGGATGAGATATATGTGGTCCCTCTCTTGCTTTGCAAATTAGCTCTTTCCAGTTAGGAGTTGTAATTTGAGACACAGCCTTTCTTTTGCTGAAGAGAAAAAGAGGAGGAATTAGCCCCTTCCTGGAACTGCAATGTATCTTTATCAGTTGTAAATTGGCTGGAGGGGGTCTGTTTTATGGCTTTGTCTCCATGCCAGATGAGCATAGCAGAGTCAGCTTTAGTTTAGTTTCTGTTTAAAAAATACAAGCAAGATTGCTCAAGCTTTTGAGAACTGGGAAATTTCTAACTCTCTTTATTATGCAAATAGAGTCTCTAAGATAGCAGGAAGGCAAATTGAGCAGAGAGGAGGGGTGGGTAGAACGGTCTTTTCCTTTGTAGCATGTGGGAAACTCCAGCCCCTCCCAACATCCACAGCCATGTAAAAAGTTCCAACGCTCACAGACAGAGAGATGACAAGACATGCAGGTTCAGATCAACATTGCACATTCACTCCTGGCTTCAATACCACGTTGCTTTATCACAAATCCAAAATTAAAAAATTTACTTTGATGGGTTAGAAATCATTTTTTACTTTTCTGTCCTGTCTCATGAGGTGGATTTGTGGCTATGCAGATAGATAATTCCACAAAACATCCATAACAAAGTACATTTATTGGTACATCAGGTATCTTCATAACTCACATTTGTGATGAAGCTCTTCTATAATGACCAATCCTTTGTATATCAGCACTGCAGGTAAAAAATGGTTATTTTCCTAACCCATCATGTAGCGAGAGAAGGAAAGGTGTTATCCGTCCATGAGTGCAGGCGAGAATGGAGGGAAACCTCCCTCAACCCCTCGAGGGTCAATTTAGTGATCAATCAGGATTACAGATGTAGCCACGTGATGTGAACTACATTTCCCAGGATACCTTTAACTACATTTACCATGATGCATTCCCTTAAGGGGACAGCTCACAATTCCTAAGTAACTATCCAACTCCCATAGACTGGCTGGGACAACACATCACTGTTTAAAGGCAAATCCTCTGTGAGCTGTGTTTTGCTCCTGGGTTGTCTCACAATAGTAGTTATGCTCCAAACACTCTGACACTATTGTATCACTGTTTGTGTATTTGTGCATTGTTTGTAAATGGCGTAAGTAAAAACGGTAAAAAATTCCTGTCTGGAGACTTGATTTTATTTTTCTGGCCAGATAACCTGGGAGAGGATGGAACTGACTCCTAACAGCTCCCCCTGCTGGTGGATGGGTGGGCAGGAGGTGCGATGAGAACGGGAGAGTCTATTGCACAAATCTCTAGGGGGAAGCCTGGTTTCCAAATCTGGCTTGACTCCAGTGCTGTAACTGGAAATAACACCTCTCAACTTCATGCCTCAGAAATCATATGCATCTCTTTCCACTTCTTCCGGTTCTGAAGGAGTCCTTTGGCAAGCCTTTCATAGGAGCTGTGAAAGAACGAGGGTCCCCCCACCCCCCGCAACAACCCACTCCTTGGTCTGGATTGGGCTTCACTTTGCTAATCCTCATCCAGTCCACATTCTGAGCAAGCGCGACCTCCACCTTGCTTGGCAGAGCTGATGAAAAGAGGGAAGAGCGTCTCAAATCTCTCTGGGTCGGGAAGAAACGGGATCCTTGATTTCCTCATTCGACTGTCTCGTATATAAATAGGTCAGGAGACAGGATAGAACTCAGTAGATTGGGCCAATGCCATGCAACACACACACACACACACACACACCCCTCCCTGAGAATCACTTTTGGGGGTGACCATTCAAGGCCAGGAAAGGTGGAGGCCGCACTTCCTGGCTCTTTCCCATGCACAAGCCAAGCAGTTTTCACCCAAATACCAGGTCAAAAAGTCCAGCTGAAATGGATCGAGAAAGTCCCTGGAAGAGATCTAAGAATACCCGGACTGGGTCAGCCTTTCCCCATTTAATGAATTTGCCCAAGAATGGAAGCCCGGCACTTGGCCAGTCCAGAGGATGCCTGGGTCAAAGACTGTTTTCGGGCGAGGCTTCAGCCCATGCCTGCTCCTAAAGAGGGCAGAAGTTTCTCCTTGGCCCACAGGCTCATTTCCTTCCTGCTTGATGTGATAAATTGGGGGGTGAAAGCTGAGGGAACCTAACTTAGGACCGTAAGGAAGGCATGTTGGAACACGTACCAAGGCCTGCTTGGTGATCTCTTCCCATCATCATCATCCATTTAAATTAGGCAGAGTCTTACCTGGAAGTGTGTGTGTGTGTGTGTGTGTGTGTGTGTGTGTGTTAGCATTCCAAAATGCAAGGACTGCACAGAACCAGCAGCACAGCACAGACCTGCTCTGTGTGTGAGGCCGCTTGTCCTTGTGAGAAGCATGGGGCACCGAGGTCACAGGCCACGAGGGGCAGCAGAGGCCTCTGCAACTGACCTGCTCCCGGCATACCCCACCCCCCACCACCTCCTCACCCTGCTGTTGGGATGCCCTCCGTTTTCTATCAGCATCCGGATGGCTTCAGGGTGGCCCCCTCCAGAGGCTTCCGAGAGGGGGGTGTTGCCATTGGCATCCGTGCAGTCCACCATGTTGAGGAGATGCTGGAGCCGGACTAGCTTCCCCTTCTCATCTGTCCCCACACCACTCTTGGTGTCCAGATCCGCCACCTTGAAAGAGCAAGTGGAGGGTTTGTCCAAGGAGAGAGGAGAGAGAGGTAAGAGAAGGTGAGGCAAAGCAAAGGTTGATGAGTGCTGCACCCTGGCCCCTATCCCACTCTTTCCTAGTGTCCCCACTGGTGTTTGTGGACCTGCACCATCATGCAACAGGTCCAAAGCCATGGCTTTGGGAAGTCTTCCTCCCCTTCTCCGCCACCAAGAATGCCTAGCACTCCCGGACTCTTTGTGCCAGCAAGTGTGGCAGGCCAGCCCCCTCCCACAGTGGCTGGAGGAGCCTGGCACCGGTGAGTGGAGAGCATTGATGTGAGTTGTCTTACGAAGAAAACTCACCCGTGAGGGGTGAGGCTCAGGAGGTAAGGCAAGCTTTCTTAATATTTAAAACAGTGTTCAAATTCCAAATACCCAACCATGTCTGACTGACAGAGATTGACCTAACCATCTTGTAATTCCATAAAACTTTAACTAGACTTTGACACGAGCTTCAGGTAAAGCAGAATAACTCCTCTATGCTAGAAGACATGACAAAGTCTGGAATCTTTTGAGGTGCAATTGGTAAGATCTTGAAGTTGCTTCAATCTCCTATTGAGTGATTTAGGGAGAAGGCGTTGCTTTGGAAGAGCTCTCACAGGCCCCTGGGACCTCTCCCAAGGCACACAGCATGAAAATACGACAAACCCGGGCAAGGGGCATCTCCCCTGGGAGGGGAGGGGGAGAAAAAGCCTCCCCCTTCCAACCTGGCGCTGGTTGGGGTGCAGAGTTGGAAACAGGAGGCACAAGCTCATTTTTACCTCTTTCAGAATGGCCTTCATCTCCTCCACGTCGCCTTCAAAAGCTGCCTCCAGCATCCGTTTTCTGCGCTGCTGCTCCTCTCTCTGCTTCTTCCTTTCTTCCTCTTCTTTCTTTCGGGCCCGCTCAGCTTCTTCCTGCTCCCTTTTCACTAGAGCGACAAAAGCCTGCAACATGAACAGCCCAGCAAAGGAAGACTCCTGGAGGTCCCTTGAGAGCCAGGATGTGAGGCTGCCAGCCAGCTAGGCCCAAACTGGAAGAGGGAACTGGACCCACCCAGGACACACCCTTCATCCCTCATCCGGTTTAGCCTCCGGACCCTTCGTCCTCCTGGCTGCTCTTCCCTGCACTCTTTCTGGAGCCTCAGCCTCTTTTTGCTATCGGGGCAACCAGAATTGGGTGCAGGATCCCAAGCCTGGTCTCACCAAGGCGGCGTAAAGCAGAACATCCCCTTTTCATGATTTCGCTGCTATCCTTCTGTCGATGCATCCTAGGGCCACGTTGAGGCCACCACTGGCTCACACTTAAGCGATGGTCCACTGGGACACCCCCTGACAGTTACACCTGTTCAGCCAGGTGCCGCCTACTTTATAGTTGTTCATTTGTTTTTTCTTGCCTAAGTGTAAAACCTGACTTTTCTCACCACTGGATTACATCCTGTTGGATGGGGCCCAGGGTTCAATACAAGTAGCCATCCCGGCCCGCAAAGATGAGTGGGATTCAGCCCCCTCCCCCATTTGGCCAGTCAGCCCTCCACCCCGCCCATTCTGCCATCTGCTAGCCAGCCCTTGCACAGAATGGGCTCCCCTCCTACCGCCAGAGCCCTCCTGCCTCTCACCTCCTTCTGGAGGTGATCCATTAATTCTTCGTATTCCCGTTGCTCCTTCAGTCGCCGCTTTCTCTCCCGGCAGGCCAGGATCCGACGGAAGGCGCACTGCAAAGTGAGCGCGGCTTTTGCCTCACGACTCAGGCCTGGGGGGGCAGAAAGGAGAGGCCCAGGGCCATCGAGTGAGGTTCCCAGGCCCTCGCTGGTCCTCGTTTCTTCCACGAAAGATTAGGGAGGTGGATGGACTTCAGGGAAAGACCACCTTCGCCAGCTTATGTTCCAAAGAGCTGTTGGACTGTCAGAGGTTGAACTGGGGACCCGAAAATCAGCCTTCAGATCCCGAGCGTCTTCACTGGGGGACTCAAAGCCTCCTGAAAAAGCTCTGCTCAAGTTGCCCAAAGTCAACCCCTCCCCCATTTATGAGCGAGGAGTTCAGAGGTCCAAGGCCACGGACTCTTAGCTGAGGCTGGCCTTGTGTGGGTCCCTCCCTAGTCTCGAATACAGCTTGGCAAGGGGATGGCTTGGGCCTTGGGTGTTTGGCAGCTAGAGTGTAACACCTGCCCTGCCTCTCCCTCGTTATCTTAAATAATGTTTAAGATACGTTATAAAATGCAAATATCAGTAATAAAACCCCAATTGCAACTTTCTCCATACTGTAATCATTGTTGTATGATTCTTAGGCTGATGGTTATTCTAAAGATTGTGATATTAACTGGATGAAAAGGAGGAGGAGGAGAAAGAGAAAGTAGAAGCAGGAGGGGTGGAGCGTGTGGAATCACGGGATTGGAAGGGATCTTAGAAGGGATCTTCCACCCGCTGCCGAGGTCCTCAGACCTACTCCAGTCAGGTGGTGCCAGCCTTTGCTTGGACACCTCCAGCGACGGAGCTGCCATCTTTCCAGGAGGCAGCCTGCCCCACTGCGGAAGGGCCCTCTGGGCCAGGAAACTCCCCCTCTCGCCTCCTGGGTCTCCCTACAGTCTGCAAAGCTTCCACCTGCTGTTCCTTGTCCTGCCTTCCACACCTCTCCCCTGGGACAGCCCCTCGGGTGTGGAAGGAAGGCTGCCGTGTCTCGCCCCAGAGCCAGCCTCCCCTTTCTTAGGTTAACAGGAGCAAGTTCTTTGAACTATTCTTCCTAGGTCTTAGCCTCAGGCCCCTCACCATCTTCCTCGCTCTTCTCTGCACTCTTTCAGGCCCCCAGTGGCCTTCCTGTACTGGGGTGTCCAGAACTGGACACGGCATTCCCGAGCACGAGGCATCCGGCCATTCTGGGGCACCAGCACTTCGTATGAGCCAGCAGTGTGCCACAGCTGCCAAAAAAGCCAAGGCAGTCCTGGGCTGCATCAACAGAGGGGCAGCCTCCAGAGCACCAGAAGCACTCCTGCCTGCGTCCAGTTCTGGCTGCTGCAATAAAGAAAGGGGGCTGAGGTCCTCAGCTGCCCCCGACCCCCCAGCTCGGGAACACAGCCAGGCTTTTAGGGCCTTATGAAAGGCTAGGAGGGCTGGGGGATGTTCCACAGAAGAGCGGCCACTGTGAAAAGGCTCATCTTCTGGCCACCCTCTAGTTCTGTGGCACTAAGCGAGCTTTCAGGGACACCTTGACTGACTGACTGATTTCATTTGATTTCTATAGCTACCCATCTCAACAGCTCACAATTCAGAACATTATTTTTAAAACATTTTATTTATTTATTTATTCATAAGATTTTTATGGCTCTAGAATCAGTGACTCTGGGTGGCTTACAAGCAACGAAACACCCCACATAAAAGGAGTAAAATCTAACACCCACACTCACACTCCTGGTGACAAGAAGCAATCGAAGAAGCCACTTGATTCCACCACTCGGGGTTCCCCAGGTCTTGCCAGGAAATGTCAAAGTGGAGGCCAGCCCACTCTCCATGGGGACGATGCTCCAAGGAGAAGGCCCTTTTTCTGGGTCCTGCCAGAGGGACCTCCTCAGGACGGGGGGGTGCGCCCTGCCTCCCTGTTCTGGTGGGTGTAACTGGGAAGAGACGGTCCTTACAGCTAACCTGCTCTTAAGCCACATAGAGCCCACCTGGGTCCATTAGTAGCTGGTGGCCAACCGACTTAGTAAGTCCTGCCCTCCTCCAAGGGGGTACAGCTCTAGAGAAAGTCATTGCCATTAGACTGTGATCTGACCAGGAGAAGGCACCAAGGACAGGCCCACCAATTCCCTGCGCTTGGGAGCAGCAGAGCCAGTTTTTTAGAGCTGTACGGAAAGCTAGCAGGGTTAGGGCCATTCTGGTCTCCAAAGAGAGGATGTTCCACAGAGTAGAAGGCTCCCCTTCTGGTCCCTGCCAGCTGACGTCCTGTGATTGACCTGGTTGGAGGGGTAGAGACTTGGGACCCTGAGGTACCCAAGCCATGTAGGGCTTTATAGGGAACCACCAGCACCTTGAATTACACCCGGAAACATACCAGTAACCATGGCAGCTCATGCAGGAAGGGTGTTACCTGTGCCCTGTATCTGGCACCGGTTACAGCCTGTGCAGCTGCATAACCTTCTGAATAACCTTCAAGGGCAGCCCCACATAGAGTGCATTACAGTAGTCTAATTGTGAGGTTACGAGAGTTACTCTGAGCTTTTTTATTATTATTTTGGCAGGAGCTCATCCATTTCCACTCCCATTTAAAGATAGGACAGGTGCCAGGGCGAGACCCAATGCCCACCTACCTACCTATCTACCCACCTGTGGGATGACTGCTGGGGGCCGCCTGGCGGTGGACAGTGTCGTCTGCATCTTTCCCATCTGTTTGGTGGCCTGAAAAGGTCACAGGAGGAGAGGAAGTTCAAATGTAAACTAGACGTCACCCTCAATTCCCTGAATTATAGTCCCCGTTTTCTAGAATAGGATGACCTGAAGAGCTCAGTCTATGGGGATGAGAATCCTTGCAAAGTGCCTGGGTGTCTTTGCAACAGCTCTCCAATCTCCCACAGTTTGATCACAGTTTGATCTCTCCAGTTTGATCACTAAACTTGGTGACCTTGGCATCAATACTACTCTCTGGAATTGGATACTGGACTTCCTGACAAACAGACCACATCATGTCAAGTTGAATAACTCCACCTCATCTACCATCACACTAAATACTGGCATTCCCCAAGGCTGTGTGCTGAGTCCCTTCCTGTTCTTTCTTGTAAACCTATGATTGCAGGCCTAGGCATGGCTCCAACACCATTATCAAGTTCGCAGACGAGCTGACAATAACTTATTACTCAACACTAACAAGACCAAAGAGCTCATTGTGGATTTCAGGAAGAATGTTTACACACATTCTCCCTATATAAATCAACAGGAGAACGAGAGAACGTGTCATCAACTTCAAGTTCCTGGGGATCCACCTCTCTGAGGATCTGTCCTGGCAGATCAACCCCACCAGCCTGATCAAGAAAGCTCACCAACACCTCTTCTTCCTGAGATTACTGAGGAAGAACCACCTTCCCCCAACTATTCTCATCCAATTCTACCACTGTGCAGTTGAGAGCATCCTAACCAGCTGTATTTCAGTCTGGTATGGAAATTGCACCATTAAAGAAAGGAAGGCATTACAGAGGGTGGTGAAAACCGCCCAACGCATTATAGGGATCCCACTTCCTGCCATTGTGGACATTCAGAGGAAACGATGTCTGCGAAAAGCCCACAGCATAGTTAAGGACTCCTCCCATCCAGCCCATAAACTATTTACCCTTCTTCCATCTGGAAGGAGGTTCAGGTGCCTGCAGTCTAAGACCAGCAGGCTAAGGAACAGCTTCTACCATACAGCGATCTCCTTATTGAATTCCTCAACTTGTCTATTCCCACACAGACACTGATACTTTCTTTGATAATATATATGTTGTATAAACTCTCTGTGCATTGTACAGTATTTATATTCAATATGTTCATAAACACTCTATACATTCCTATATATTCCTTCCATACATATATTCTGTATATTCATAGATATTCTGTATATCTATATATAGTTACATATTTTGTAGATCTCTCTGTCTGTGTATATATATATATATATATATGTACATACATGCATACATACATACATACATACATACACACTTCATTGTTGTTTTGTACTTCTGGTTAGATGCTAACTACATTTTGTTGCGTTCATGTGCAATGACAATAAAGTTGAATCTAATCTAATCTAATCTCCCCAAACCCTTCAAATTCCACTCGCTTATTTTGCAGACTATGGCTGTATTTTAAGTACCACAACAGTAGAAAGCTTGGTGAAAGAAAGAATATGCCCAGGAGCCGAGACAGTGCTTCCTGGAAGAAAACCGTCTGGTGGGTTTATCCAAGAAATGAAGGGACTTTCAAAAGAAAGGAGGAAGCGGAGGGGAAGGACCACTTCCTGTTTGTTTGTTTATTTATTATTTAACATCACTATAAATGGTCACCCAGGTTGCTAAATGGAACTTTAGTCTGCTAATAAAAATTATATAAATAATATAAATTAAATAATGAATAACAAAAATATCAATATCTCTTTCAATATGTAAGGACAAGAGTTAGGTCTGGTCAGGAGGTGGCCAGCAAGTACAGGTAGTTCTTGACTTACAGCAATTCATTTAGTGACGGTTCAAAGTCGTAATGGCACTGAAAAAACTGAATTATGACCGTTTTTCACATTATGATTGCTGCAGCATCCCCAGAGGATCCAAATTCAGATGCTTGGCAACTGACTTATATTTATGATGGTCCCAGTGTCCTGGGATCATGTGATCCCCTTTGCAACTTTCTGACAAGTAGGAAGCCACATTAATTTAACAATCGTGTGATTAATTTACACCTGCAGTGATTCGCTTAACAACTGTGGCAAAAAGGTCGCAAAATGGGGCAAAACTCACTTAACAACTGCTTTGCTTAGCAATGGAAATTTGGGGCTCAATTGTGGGCATAAGCCGAGGACTACCTCTACTTGGCATCCAGCTGCAAGGGGCTGTGAAAGACCACCAGCCAGAAGCCCCTTGGCAACCCACTCCACGACCTCGGCCACACAGGCTCTCCTGTGCAAAGGGGCCCCAGAGGTCTTTGGGGCTCTCAGACTGCCCCCCTCCCGGCTCCGGGCGAGAGGGAAGGAAAGGCCCAGGAAGCCTTTGATCACAGACCGTAGCCCCGGCTTGCCAAGGCCACCTCCGACCCAGCTGTGCCGTGGTGAGACCCTGGGGGCTTGCTTTCGGAGTCCAGGGCTTGGAGCTGGTCTCGGGCTGTAATGGAGGAGGACGGCCTTGTTGCTGAACTCCTTTTCAAGCAGATGCCCTCCGCAAATAGGGCTCGAAGGCCAGCTGACTTGCTCCTTGGCAGCACTTTCCACCAGCCACCAGCCCAGAATCTCCAAGCCATACAGCAGCTGCTGATTTAGATGATACAAGGGGCATTGAAGGGTTAACCTACACAGATTAGTATGGGCCCCTAGGCTCGTGGGGCCCACCAGGCGTTAAGACAGCCCTGCTCCCAACGCTCGGCTACCTGGCTTCCCAGAGGCTGCTCCGGACGGCTTAGCTCCCTTTTTCACCGGACTTCTCCCCGCGGCTTTCTTGGAACTCATGCTCCCACCGGGACTGCAAGAGTGAACGGCAGAAAGGCCGAATCAATGTCGCCAGGCTCCGGGCTTGAACTGTGGCGGAGCCACCGGGGGTCGGGGTCAGGCGCTGGGATCCTTCAGCCCTGGGAGCCCCCTCCCCGCGAGCGTGGGAAAGGAAGGCGGGAGTGCAGCCTTGGGCTCCTCCGGTCGGATCCTCCAGGGCCTCCTAATCCTGGCCCTGCTCGGCGCTCCTGGGACCACCCCCCACCCCCCCGCTGCTCAGAGCTGCAGAGGCCCCGGCCAAGGCCTGGACCCGAGCCAAGCAAAGGGGGCGGGGGGCTCTTTGCCCACGGGAAGCCCTTGTCCCGTCCGGGCGATCGCTGCCGAGGGGTGGGGCGGGGACCGCGGAAGGCTCCCTGGCGTCCCTCGCGACCCCCGCCCATCCGCGGCTGAAAGGTGCGGGGGCTGCGCTCGGGGGACACCCACCCGGGGGGAAGCCTCCCTGCTGGCCGGGCTCGCACGCGCGCCTGTCCCCGTCGCCCGGCAACCAGCGCGCCCTCTCGGCGCAGGCGGGGCCGGGCGCGCTGCCTGGCGGCGGTGCAGGCGCAGAGGGCCCAGTTCCCGGTCTCGCCTTCGACTCCGTATGCCGCGGTTCCGGCGGCAAGAAGGCACGTCGGAGAAGCCTTCCGAGGGAAGACCAAAGAGGCGTTGCCCGGTCGGCCCGAGCTCCAGAGCGCGCAGGGGCCGGTCCTTCGCCCCTTCACCCGCGCCGCCAGCCGGACGGGTTGGGAAAGGCGTCTGAGCCCTCCGGGGACACCACCGCCATCCGGCCCCGCGCCGAAGGGTGGAAAAGCGCATTTAGCGGGGGTCCATCCCACCCCTGGCCAGGGAAGAGGGGCCCGGGTGGCTGCCCACAGCATGGGGGGCCGGGTCATCCGTGGGGCTCACGGGGTGACGTTCCAGTTCTGTGTTGCTCCAAGCGCCCCCCCAAGAATGGGGCTAAAGGTTTTGGGGGCTCCTCCATTCCCCTCCCTCAACTCCCCCCCCCCAGGTCGGAACCCAGAAAAGAATTCTAGAACTGGCGGTACCAGGAGGGATCTTGCTCGTCCAGTCGGAGCGTCTCTGTTCCCAATGCACCAGCACAGGAGGCAGCCCCGTGTCTGGCAGCTGTTTCCGTGGGCTGGGCAGCCCGTAGTGTCCCACCACAGGCCTTCCTCGCAGGTTCAACTCCCTGGTTCTCGTCCGGGGCAATAGAGAAGGAGCCAGTTCCCTTTTCGGTAGCTACATGACAACAGCGGTTCCAGCCCCATAGCCATATTTTCTATGGGCCAAAGTTTCCTCCCAAGGCTTTGTTTGCAGACCCCCACTTTAGGAGGCCCCCTCTGTATGTGCACACAAGGCGTCACCGAACTGGAGGCAGCACTGCGGATGAGACTCGAAATTGAAGGGGTGGGGGTGCTCTTGCTACCACTCGAGCCTTTCAACCCCTTGAATTCCTTCGCTCTCCTCTAAGACATGTGCTGCTCCTCCTCCGTGAAGGAAAGCTTTGGATAGACGTGGTTTTGTGCCTCCTGCTCGAGAATTCCTCATTAAGTCACCATTTCACTTGGAGGAAAGCTTCAAATGGGGGGAGGGAGCACAATGCTCCCCCCTAAGCTCATTCATTATTTTCATCAATGGGAGAGCTGAGGAACATTTACCAAGTTTGCCGATGATGCCGAAGGAAGGATGGCTATAGTCTTAAGGTGGCAGGGAGAATCATTCGCAAAGTTGGGCTGAAATGAACAGGATGGGTCTGATCTGGATGGGCAGAATGTAGGGTAGAAATAGGCACGGGAGACACCTGGCTTGGGCGCAGCTCCTGTTTAAAAGGATTCAGAGGTCCTTCCTGACCACCAGTCGATCACGAGGTGCAGCCTGATTCAGCAACTAAGAGGCAAACCCTGTCTCTGGGTGCATTAATCAGAATGGAGAGGACTTATCCTGTGGTGAGAAGTGCTCCAGTTGAGGCTGAATCTTTGGTTGCAGCCCATACACCTAGGGACTGTTTCCAACTCTTTGATTCTATCAATTGATCAGTCAATCAATCAGAACAGAGCTGGAAGGAACCTTGGAGGTCTTCTAGTCCAACACTCTGCTCAAGCAGGAGACTCTGTGCAATTTGAGTCAACTGGCTGTCCAGTCTCTTAAAAACCTCCAGTGATGGAGCGTCCACGACTTCTGAAGGCAAAGCTGTTCCACTGGTTAAATGTTCTGTTTGGAAGTTTCTCCTGAATTCCAGGTTGCTTTTCTCCTTGATGAGAGTATCCTCAGTGTTTCTTGTTCTGGCTACAGGTGCTTTGGAGAATAAATTGACCCCCTTCTCTTTGTGACAACACCTCAAATCCTGGGATACTGCTATCATGTCACCCCAGTCCTTCTTTTCTCTAGATTAGCCATACCTAAATCCTGCAAACATTCTTTATGTTTTTGTCTCCAGGCCTTTAATCATCTTAGTTGCTTTTTTTTGCACTTTTTCCAAAGTCTCAACATCTTTTTGTAATGTGGCGACCAAAACTGAATGCAGTATTCCATGTGATCTTACTAAGGATTTATAAAGTGGTACTGATACTTCACGTGATTTTGATTCTATGTTTCTGTTTATGCAATCAAGGATTGTATTAGCTTTTTTGGCTGCTGCCTCACATTGCTGCCTCATATTTAAGTGATTAAGTTATTTGATCATTAAAGATGGCTTCTTCTTTGTCCCAATCTTCTTGTTCTGCAAGCGTTTCTTGTTGCTTCTCATAATTCCAGATCTCCATTTCTAAGAATTGAAACACGAAGCCAAAAGAACTTCTCCCTTCTTGTGCGTCTTCTTTCCATTTTTTAAGTTCCATTTTCAGTTCTTCTAAGAGTGATACCATTTTAAAAACTTTTAAACAACCACCCGGTTAATTTTAGTCATCTAGATGCAAAAACCAAAAATCACCAAATAATCCAAGGCTGTTTCTACTTGCTTCTTTTTTCCACTTTCTCTTCCTGTGGTTCTATTATTTTGTTACCAAGTTTCAATTAAAATGTATCTTTGAGGAATCTTGTTAAAATTTCACTGTAAGTTCCTTTTAATTACAGTTCCATTCCTTAATTCCAGGCAATCTCCTCCATTTTTCCAGATCCTGCCCTTTTATTCTTTTTTTTTCTCCTTTCCTGCTTTTAAAAACTTTTAAATGTCCAGAAATCTTTTTTATCCCTTTGACTTTTATTTTCAGCTTAGATGCCTATTAATGTCAAAGTCGATTTTTTTTTCAATTTCTTGCTTAAGTCTCTTAGCAATCAGTATAAGGAAGGGAAGAAAAAAAGTCTAACCTTCTCTCTCTCCTTCGCAGCTTCAAAATCTTCTTTGGGAACAACGTTGTTAAGTTTAAATTATTTGTTGCTTTTGCTGTTTGACCCGGTCAACCAAATTTTTCTCTTCTTATCTTCCTCCTGCACATTCTTTTCCGGTTGAGTTCTTCTTCGCGGTGGCCATTTCTGACCACCGCTACAACCGCCTTTGGGAAAGGGAGTAATGGCCAGCTGGGGAGGAGAGATGCGGCTCTCCTCAACCCTGCAGGCAGTCTCCCCCCTCTTCACCACCTCTACGGGGTGGCTTAGCCCCAAAACCAACCAGCTCGGGGCGCTCCAGCGGTGAGCATGGATCGAAGCCTCGGAGAGACGAGGTTTCGGTCTGTCGCTGAAGAAGCTCAAACCGGAAGTCCGTTTATTCCCTAGATTTTGAGCATGAGTGTATAGGCATTTGAGTCCTTTTATGGGTCTTGGATATATTTTTATATTTCCTACTTTGTAACTGGGTTTTCCAACCTTCTCATCACTCTCTACCCCATGTCAGCTAGTCTTTGAAAACTTGCAGATTTGCACACAAATCACAAACCACCATGCAGAGCAGAAAGCAGGTTTCAAGCGGTTTTAATGTCAAACAACAAAGTTTCCATCTGCCAAGAATGGTATCCCAACTGGTCTATGTTAGCTCTGGAAGCTTCTTCCTTACAGTGTTATTTAAAGGTATAAACACACCCACCTAAACGCTTCTATCCCCTATCCATGCCCCTAATTATTCCCTTAATCACCCCTTATTCCCATCATCCAGTTTACCTAATGTCCACTATTTCCTTCCCTATCACCTATCCATCGCTCATGATTCCTATCTCATCGCGAGTAAACTAAATAGTTAAACATACACCCCCATTGCCCATTTCTTCAACACAGTTGATTCAACTGTTGCACTGGCTGTTGTTATCTCTCTCAGTTTGGCTTCTGCAGAATCATCTAATTAACTTCCAACAATCCATCAAACACACAGATAGGAGTTTCCCTTCAAGTTACGCACGTCATAATTCTCCGACGCTGCAGCTGTTGCAATTACCCAGAAGCATCTATCATTGGCAGGGTGCGATGGCTCCTGCAAATGTGCTGACGGGCTCAGATCATCTATCATCCCTAACAGACCCCGACACCCCAGAGGTCTCCAAACTTGGCAACTTTAAGACTTGTGGACTTCAACTCCCAGAATTCCTCAGCCAGCTGCCAAATTTGGAGAGCCCTGCTCTACCCCATTATGTTTTTCTTTATTTCTTCTTTCTCTTTAATCCCTATCTCCTTACATAATTAGTTATCTTTTTGCTTGGAATTAGGATCTAAAGTTCATAAAGTTTGTCCCTTCCCTCAATTTTAGATTTTTGGTTGACCAATTTTGGTGACCTTGGTATTAACGCTACTCTTTGTAATTGGATACTGGACTTTTTGACAAATAGACCACAACATGTCAAGTTGAATAACTCCACTTCATCTACTATCACACTGAGTACTGGCATACCCCAAGGCTGTGTGCTGAGCTCTCTCTTCACCTATGACTGCAGGCCTGTGTATGGCTCTAACACCATTATCAAGTTCGCAGACGTGATACTACGATCAGACTCATCAACGATGACGACGATTCAGAGTACAGAGAGGAGGTGCAGTGCCTAGCTACGTGGTGCGCTGACA